CATTCCATTTGCTGACTCAGAAGACTTATGGGTGGTATTTCAACTGTTGGTACTGTACAAATACAATATACTGGTGACAGAGACGGTCCAGATGAACTGAGAGCAAAGAAGTTTACAAAACCAATAGCACTTTTCACGGAAGATGCTCTTTTGAAGATTCGTTCGATGAAACCTGCTGGGGCTCCTCAGATTGGTATAACGACAGCTTCCATCGAGCAGATTTTGGCAGCAGGTCAGTAAGTTGTTCTTGAACTGACTTCTCTCCGTCAAATATTGACAGTACGCCAGTTTTGACATAAAATTGTATTATAAACTTTCCTTTAGAAATATCTGTAAGTTTTGTTGTTATATTTTTGTCAACGTCAAGAACTTTCACCATCTCGGTTATACCAACTTTCTTTGCTTTATGAAAATATTTTGGTTCAGCAAAGACTGCTATTCTATAACATTTTCCATTGTTTGTGTAAAGAACTACTCTGTCAATGAACTTGTATTGTTTGTGTGTGTAAACTTTGTTCTGCTTCAATTCGAAGAGATACTCGAATACGTCCATCTTTTTATTCTAAGTAAAATGTCATTTCCGAAAAATAGAAGCGTGAGTGTTTCAAAAGGTTTAATGGCGGTGGCAGATGTGAAGTTAAATTCACCAACTCAAACAAACAGTCAAAGTGTTGTTGTCAATGTCAAAGAAAGAGATGTTGAAGTGGGGAAACCATACGAAGACCAAGATGGTATAACAATAGTTCCTGTAAAAGAACAACCAACATACCCTGAAGTTAGCAGAGACTTAAGTTCTGTTGCAGATATTCGAAATGACTACCAACAACTTAAAGACAAACTTAAAACTCAGGAGAAGATTTGTCAAGCTTTAGGTATAATGTTAAACTTGGTCGAACACAACCCTGTAAAAGTGAACTCATATGTCATTGCACCTCATGAAATTTTGAAAGAACTATTGAAACTTTTGACAGAGGCAGACGATATAAACATCAAAGAAATAGAACCCGACATTGCTTGCTGTGGTGTTTCATATAATGTCATTGACAAGATATACGTTATGAAAGGAGGTGAAACGTTGAACTTAAAATATAGTTTCCCAGACGTCATAAAAATATTTTGACGACCACAACATTTCATTAAAATTTACTTGCTAAGTAAATGGCAGAAGACATAGTGGTTTATACTATTACGACTAAAAACCCTGAGTCATATAATTCTATAACAAAAACTTACAAAGTCCTCAAGGACGATATTGTAAACTGACCTTAAACACGATGACGACTAAAGCCTGTTTTGCTCTTTGACACCAGAAGACTTTGTTGTTGTGAATGGTAAAAAATACTCTTTTGAAGATACTTACTCAGATATACCACCAACAGGTTTGTTGACTTATTTAATACTTTAAGGACGGATGTAACATGTGCTGCAACTAGAGCAGGTTTCATTATGTTTGGATGTCCGACCGAGTTTAGTATAAACGATATGAGCTATAATACAAAACTTATATCTGGTTTTTACTACCAACAGTTTCCTATCACAGGAAAAGGTGTCATACAAGGTTTGTCTGTTCCATTGACTTTAAGTACACCTATTTTATATATTGTTTCAAACTTAGGTTCAAAGTGCTATTCGAATGTCGACAGAAACTACTATGACCAAAAGATACTCATGCGTATAAACAACACTTTCTCTGCTGGTTTGCCTATTGTTCATTCGAATGCAGAGTTTTTCAGCTTTAGTGAACTCAAACACTTTAGCAAACATAAACTTAACCTTAGTTGACGCAAACTTTGTTTCCTGTAAAACTTTTATGTCCTATGTATTTGTCAATGACGGCAGAAAGTTTCGAATTGGAAGATGCAACTGGTTGAAAGTATTTGTATTACAAGAACAACTTCAACACACAAATAGCTCAAGAACAACAAATGCAACAAATATAGCTCAAGAACAACAAATAGCTCAAGAATAAAAAAAATATTTTTTTTTATTTTATAAAAATGTACAGAATAGACGTTCAGATTTTTATGACTTTCCAAAGCGTTCAGAAATATGTGTCCATTTAGAGACTATAACAAAGCAGTCGAGAATTTGAAAACGTTTAGTCATTTATGTCGACTCTGCCCCAGAATGTTATGTCATGAAAGAATGGGATGTTGTCTTTAACAAACCAAGAGCGACAATAGTTTCAGAACAAGAATGTAGACAGAAACTTAAGAAAATAAAAGTCGTACAAGTTGGTATGAAGATGTTAGATGCTTGGGATATCTTATTGTCAAAGTTAGAGATTTTTCAGTTCGTGGTATAAAGTTCTATACACCTTCTCCAAACTTCTATTCTATCTTCACTGGATATAAATATGAACAAGTAGAATGGAAAGAAAATGTATAGAAGCTTGGTTAGACCATGTCAAAGAAATTATATGCAATGGAAACGAAAGAGTCTATGAGTATATCTTATGTGGTTTGCAAACATCTTACAACATCCAAGTGCTAAAAATGAAACTGCTCTCATTATAATTGGAAAACAAGGAACTGGTAAGAATACTTTCTTTACAGATATTTTGTGCAAAACTGTTAGAGGGCTATTCGAATCCGAATATGACAAACTTAGAAAACATCTGCGGTAAATTTAACTCTTCAATAGAGAATATGAAACTTATAGTATGTAACGAACTTCAAAGTATAGATACAACAAAAGTTTTGAACTCAGATGCTTTGAAGAGTCTTATAACAGACAAAGTTGGCGTTGTTGAAAGAAAGTATAAAGACTCAAGAGTTTGTGAGAATGTTGCAAACTTCATTATGGTTTCAAACAATACTGTTCCGATGAAGTTAGAAAGTTCTGACAGAAGATATGTAGTTGTCAGAACGTCAGATTCTCATATGCAAGATACAGAATATTTTGACGACTAGCAGAAACTTTGACACCTAACTTTACAACCACTTGTTCTCATATTTCATGACATTAGATATTTCTAAGTTCAATCCAAGACAAATTCCACATACCGAAGAAAGACAAACATTGTTAGAAGCAAACAAGAGTGTATATGAACTGTTTATAGATGAGACTAACTTTGAGTGTTTAGATGAAAGGTCATTGTACGATGAATATAAACAATATTGCCAAGAGTATGGTTATATGACAGCGTCTAAACGAACATTCTTGGCAAATGTCAAAAGTCTTTTAGATGTTCAGAACGGCGTATATACAAAGAAAAATTTTTCTGAGTAAATTTAAAAAAAATATTTTTTTATTTTATTTGAAATGTACGCTGAGTTTGTTGGAGAAGACCGTTGGGAAACTTGTTTGTTAGATGAGAAATATGAAATTCACTGTTGTGAGTCATTTGAAGTCAGAAACAAAGAGACAAAAAGAGTTTTAAGCGAATGGGAGCAAAATAACGGATATGCTAGGATGAGTATGAGTGGAAAAAACTATTTTAAACATGTTGTCATTGCAACTCATTTTATACCGAACCCTAACAATTTACCTTTTGTAGACCATATAAACCATATAAGAAACGACAATAGACTTGAAAACTTGCGTTGGGTCACTCGTTCTGAAAACAATAAGAACAAAGGCAAATTTGGAGACATTATATTCGAATTTGTCGACGAACTAGAAGATGAAACAATTGAAATTACAGACTATGGCAAGCATACGTTTGAGTTTTACTACTATAGCGAAGAACAGGACTTTCTACTTTTATATACCGGCGTAAACTATAGGAAATTACAAGTATATTTTACTAAGGAAGGCTATGCTCATGTAAACGCTAGAGATACAGATGGAAAATACGTTCAAATACATCTTAACAAATTCAAGAAGCTATATGGCATACCATTTTAAAACGTTTTTTTAAAAAAAAATATTTTTTTTATCCGATAGAAAAGATGATGAAATTCATCTCAGTCAACAAATATATGACAGAAGTCAAAGATAAGTTAGCTCCATTCATATATTTGAATGTTTACTTCTACCATTTTGAAAAGTCTTCATTCAGCAAAGTTTGGAACATCGAACCCGTTAAGTTTGCTATTGTGACTAAAAATGGTGCGAAATTTGAAGACTTAGACATAGAAGGTTTGTTAACAGTCAAGGAAAATTTTGACAGAAGGTTCTCAAACCTTAAAGAAGGCAAAGCATACAAACTTGTTATACCTTATGAACCAAAGAAAGCAGACGACTATGAATATTATGAGTCTAAGATAGTTGAAGTTCAAGGTAAATTAGGTAAAAAGATTTAGAGTCTAAGCCAGTGTTTGCTCCTAAAGAGGAAGAGAACATTGACATTGACCCAGAAATGTTCTAAAAATAAAATTTTATTTTTACATGTCAAATTTCTTTTTCTCTGGCTCTGGTTCAGGTTCTTTTTCTCTCTTCTACTTTCTTTTCTTTCTTTCTCTCTTCTTCTTCTTCTTCTCTGGTGGAGTTATGTCAAACTTCTCAGAACCATATTTTTGTAAAAGGTCTTTGTCCTTAATAGCTCTTCTATCTTGTTTTCTATTTCATCTTCAAGAACAGCGCATGTGTCTTCTTTGCATTCTAAAGAACTTTTGTTGGACTTCATCTTTCCAATCGGCGTCATCTCTGTCAACAAGTCTGTCATTGACAAATTTTAAGACTGCTCTTTGTAATGTTTTATGGTTCTTGTATATTCCCCAGAAACAGAACTTTAGAACAAAATTCACCTTCTTGTTTACACTATGTAGATTTTATGGTCGACAGATGTTTTGCTGTCGAAAAGCTTGTCTCGAATATAGATAGCGAAATCGCTAGACATTTTCTAAAAGATAAAAATTTTAATTTTTCTAAAAAATATGTTAGAAAAAAAGTTTGCTGACATTGACAAGAAAATTGAGAATGTTTTTAAATAAGAACAAGAGGAAGTTGGAAAATGCTCAGAAAAAAACCCATAATGACAAGTTCCTATTTGCTCAGAATGGTATAACAGGTCTAATCGCACCACCTGGTCGGGTAAGACTTTCACTTATCTTAAAATGGCTGCACAACAACAAGAACTAGATGAGAAGAACCCATTCTATGAGTTAGTAGTCATTTGTAGTACTTCTGGTCAATTTGACCAAACCGTAAATTCGTTCAAAGATATTATAAAAAAGTCTAAGTTAGTATGTATAAAAGACTCTGAGTTGTTAGATTGGATAAAGAAGTACCAAAGAATTTTGAAGTACAATGCTATAAATGAGTATATAAATTCTAAGTTTAAAGACCCAAATGAGGAAATGCAGAGAATATTAGAGAAGAAACACTTCAGAAACAAACAGAAAGAGATAGAATACATTTCGAAGAAATTGCAATCTTACGATTGGAAGACTTACCCTCACAGATGTCTTCTTATTTTAGATGACTTTGCATCTCATCCTTTGTTAAAGAACAGAGAACAAGATATGTGTCGAATTCTTAAGAAGCTCAGACACTTTAACATCTCAGTTGTCATTTGTGTACAGACAGCAAAGAGTTTAAGTAAGGATGTTAAAAGAATACTTACTGATATCATACTTTTCCCTGGATTGTCCGAAGACGATTTCATGGAACTTATGAAAGAGTCCATGGCAGGTAAGTTTGACAGACATGAACTATGGGAGAAGTACAAAGTCATACAAGACCCTCATACTTCTTTCAGAATTCACATCTACGCGAACAAAGTTCAAATTGTAAAAAGTCAATAAAAATAAATGGTTCATCTACTCTACTTGTTTGAAGTTGTCAAAATACTCTGTTATTTTTTCCTTTAACAATGGTAAATCTTCTTTGAATGTAAGTATTGTACAACCTTTGATGTCATAGTGTGTTTGAGGAAGAGTATCTTGAACTATTTGTTTCACATCTTCATTCGGTGTCATTGAAATCGGTAAGTTTTCGCGATAGAACCAATTTCTGTCAGATTTGTAAATCTTAGCAAGGTCGTAAAAGCTTTTGTTGTTTCTTCTGACTAAATGCAACATAACCATATCTCTGTCTTCTTCATTTTCCATCTCTTCAGTATAAATCATATACTTATAGTTCTTTTCCTTTCCTTTTGGTACGAACGTGGTATTCTTTTCTGTATGTTTTTGTCTTTTGCTTCAAGCTTGTTCTCTAGCTCTTCACGTTCTTGTCTATGAATTTCGTCAAGAAGTTTACAAACATACCATGAATAGCGAGCTGAAGCCCATTGTGCCACATTATTTACAAGAAGTCTATGTACATAATATCCTCTCAAACCGTTTGGCAATTTTTCACGATTTTCATGAGTTTTAGGCGAGTAAGATTTTTTACTTACTCGCTGTTCTTCACTGTTTTCAGAAAAAAGTATGTCTCGCTGTGCTTCGCTCAAAAGTTCTTGTGTGCTTTGGTTCCTAAACCAGTCTTGTGGTTTCTTAGTATCTGGAGCAAAACATGCTGTCAAAATACTTTGCATTTGGTACATGTCATCTTTGACCGAACGAATGAGACGGAGTTGTTTGTTAAACTGTATGTACTCATATTCTTCATTTATAGCTTCATGAACGATAGCAGTTGTTGTGTTCTCTGTTGTTGACATATCTGTCTTTATATTCCGGATAAAAAAATAAAAAAAAATAAAATTAGCGTTATTTTCTATCTTGTATAAAAGACCAAAAATAAACGCTTTACATGTATTTTTCAGCAACTTCGTCAAATAATTTTATAGCACTATCTATCTCATCTACTTCAAACGTTTCTTTACCTTTCGTGGGAGCACCATACATTTTCTCAAACTTTTCAAGCAGTTCTGTTTCTGCAGCTCTCATATCGTTAACAAACACAACCTTAACTCTATTGACTGTACTGTCATATCTTTGAGTTATATTATATGTTCTTCCTATCTTATATCTCTTTGTATTGAAGTCCTTCGGTTTCTGAACGATATAAAGTAAGCCTTCACTGCAACGTTCCGTATCGAATGAACCATATGTTATGAAGTTATATCCAACAACTGGGTCTAACCAGAACAAAACTACTGGTATAAGACTTTTGTCTATAAGATATGCTGTAGTTCCATGAAATCTTACCGATATCAAAAGCTCAGGATTTCTTGTCAAAATTTTCTGAGTTGAAGCAATTTTAACCCAGTCGTTTGTTTTCTTTTCAAATGGAGATAAAATGTCTGACAAAGAATATTTGTTGTATTTCTTTGAGTATCTTACGTTTAAATCACCAATTCTAACCAATTTAGTGTTATTGTCTATCTTTTTAACTGTTTCAAACTCAGTGTTTGTCATTTCCTGTTCTTACATACAAAATAAAAAAAATATTTTAAAAAAAACTAACTTTATTTTATTTTTTCTATCTTAAGGAAATTCATGAAATTTGGTCATTTTACTCAGAATTCAATAAAATATATTTTAGGCGACCAGGTCACTCGGTTAAATGAACTTCTCTGAAAAAGTGTGACAACATGACATTTTGACAACAACACAGGAAATATACTTCTTCGTAAATGTTTTGTCAAGACTTCTTCGTAATGAGCGTAAATCAGACAAAAATATATTTTAGGGTAGAAGGGTATATCTACCCCGTTTTCTACCCTCATTTCTACCCCATATGTCCTTACTGAAAAAGTATGTGTTCCATATGTCATTTTACTCAGAATTTTGTGCTGAATTCAGCAAAAATATATTTTAGGGTAGAAGGGTATATCTACCCCGTTTTCTACCCTCATTTCTACCATAAAGTTTTACAAGCGTTTTACATGGTATATGTTGTGATGGTTCATGACTTTAAACAGTTTTGTAGCTTCTATTTCTTCACGAAGGATATCAAAAATTTTAACTATGCCGAAGGTTTCTTTATATTTCTTCTTGACATCTGAAAGAAGGAAATCGTTAGCAGTTGGATAGTTTTTGTTCAGAAATGTCAACATGTCCATTTTATCTTCTGCTGGTTTCTCTACTTCTTTCTTTAAGTCAGTATGGTCTTTTCTCATTCTTTCTATCTCTTTGACGGAGTAGTTATATTTCCTTGTTGCTGCTTTACATTTTGAACATTGTGAGTTCATTTTTGCGTTATATTCTGAAATTTGTCCTGCTAGTATGACTAAGGCGTAGATGGTTTTCTTTAACTCAAAGGTTGCTGGTTTTATCTGTTGGTTCCATACCTTACCTCTTCTATCTTTATCTCTTATCTGCCATACACACTCAGCAACTAACGAAACAAAGTTGTCGTAGGTCTTAAATTCTTCAGATTTATATATGTCAATGACTTTGTGGTTGCAATGAAATCCAAGAAACTCATAGTTTACCTTTCGTATGAACTTCTTTATTTCTACTGAGTCAGTCAGTCTGACTTCAATTTCATCGAATTCTGGAATAGTGAGTTTTTGTTGTTGTATTTCAGGTAGTTTAGGCAAATGGTCTATAATATCTTGCATTTCATAAAGATACTGTTCATTTGTTTCATCTTTTGCACTACAGTCTAAATCTCCTTGGAGAAGTTCTTGCTTTATCTTCTGGATTTCTGTTTCGAAAGTATATGAAGAAGGAATGAAGCTTTTCATCTCTACTAACATTGAAGTTGGGTTCATGACTAACGAGTTTGGTGCTGTTGTTGCAAACATGTTCTTACAATAAAAATAAAAAATATTTTTTGGTGGGACTACCTTTATTTTATTTCAGCACAAAATGAACGAGTTTGGTTTAAAAATACGGTGGAGCCAAAAATGGCTCGACCTCAAAAACAAGCATTTTGTGAAGAATATACCAACCCGCTGTTTTCCGCGGGTTGCTTTTTTTATACAAAGTTCAAGAGTTTTGTGTGTTTTCTACGAGGGTAGAAATGAGGGTAGAAATGAGGGTAGATATACCCTTCTACCCTAAAATATATTTTTTGGTGGTACGTCGGACATTGTTCTGAAACAGTACAAATATTGTTCTGAAACAGTACAAATATTGTTCTGAAACAGTACAAATATTGTTCTGAAACAGTACAAATATTGTTCTGAAACAGTACAAATATTGTTCTGAAACAGTACAAATATTGTTCTGAAACAGTACAAATATTGTTCTGAAACAGTACAAATATTGTTCTGAAACAGAAAATTTTCTCTCAAATTGAGAGCTTTTACGGGAAATTTGTTCTGAAAAAGTACAAGACTAGTTCTGAAAAAGTACAAGACTAGTTCTGAAAAAGTACAAGACTAGTTCTGAAAAAGTACAAGACTAGTTCTGAAAAAGTACAAGACTAGTTCTGAAAAAGTACAAGACTAGTTCTGAAACAGAACAATGGACAGCATCGAGCCATTAGATGAGGCAATTTACCTTATAGAGATAAATGAAGTTGTTAAGCAGTATTTGGGCAAGGACAAAGCCAACAAGTCCCTCGGCGTCTGGTTGTCTGGAAGAGGTGCGCTGAAAATCGAGATTTCGACTGGAATTCCAATTCAAATACCAGAAAACACTCCTGTAGACGACATAAAGGAGATGAAGAAAGAAGCTCTTCTCAAGTTCTTTGCAAAGCGCCCATGGATACAACTTCCAAACAGAGAGAGTCCAATTCCACGAATTATACAAATTCTCAGAGCACTGTTCCACTTCTCTGGTCAGCCGTTCTACATAACCTGTGAAGGCGACATCCAACCAGTTCAGTAAACATCTCATTTTAACTAACTTTTTTTCTATCTTAAGGAAATTCATGAAAATTCAACGGGTAGAAAAGAGGGTAGAAAACGGGGTAGATATACCCTTCTACCCTAAAATATATTTTTCAATACTTTTTCAGCACTTTTCCGTAGTTGTATATGAAAGACAATTCGAGATAAAAGTCATAGTACAATGGTATTATATGCTGCACACCGTTTGTTGTGAACCAAACTTGAAAGTCAGAGAAACTGTTACTAGGTGGTTCGTAGAATTTAGAGGTAAGGTCATAAAAGTCCTTACCAATACAAAGAAAACTATTGTTGCTTGAACTGAAACTTGCATGACACATAACATTTTGAGGGTCAAACACGTTTCTATAAACTGTCAAATCTGTTGGTGGGCGTATAAACCAGAACGGACCGTCAGGTGGTAATGGTTCGTTCTGGTTTAGTAACCGAAGAAATTGTGCCCAAGAACGTTTGTCTACTTGCCAAAATAAAAACTGTGTATCTCTTGGAGGGTTATTTTCAATCCTTTGAAATGAAACGGTGGAGTTCATCTTGTCATATTCTAGTTTCAGATAGTATGTTCCATTTAGTAAAGAATCGTATTTTTCTTGAAATTCCCAGTAGTATTTGTTTATTTGAGTTTGAAAGTCATTTAGAGTTTTTTCAAGATTTTCGTCTGAACGAACTGTAAAGATTCTCATTTCATCAAATTTGTCTAGTAGACCATCATGACCTCTATACTGCCCATGAAAATATACCGCAAACATAAACGCGTTAGTTCTTTTTGAAAACAAAACTTTTCTAAATCCTATTGCCTTTGCATCTGAAGGACTTTGAAGCCAACGAATTGGAAAGTCAAACCTGTAAGCACCGGATGAAATTTCTTCATCTGATATTGTCCTACCGGCATTTGTAAAGATATAGTCTAACGGTTTTGTATCTGCTACTTTTGTTCTTTGTTTTTCAACCTGAAACATTTAATATATGTAAAAATATACTGTTTTAAAAAATGTTTTAAAATGGTATGCAATTTTTTATTTCTCATCTAACAAACATGTTGTCTGACTGCTTGAGGGTTACGTTTGTACCATTCGAACTTCACGCTTGCAATTCCTTCAATTGCATTCAAGATGTCTGAGTCGGAGTCAACCATTTGTTCTCTCTTTGTAGTCTTGAAAGCGTCAAGAAGCATTGCAGCTGTTGTGACATTGCCATGTGCATAGTAAATGTGACCATCTAAATCTGTTACGGTTAGTCTGAGATTGTATCCTTTCTTATTTCCGTCTTGTATGGCAGCAAGTACACCCATGAAGCCTTCTTTGTTCTTTCCTTCGTCAAAGTTTACTGTAAAGGTTCGACCAGATGTAATTTGACTTCTAACTTCACGATACTTTTCATATGCATATCTTGTTCTTTCCATGGGAGCATGACCATCCTCTGCACTACCTTTTTTCCTTCTCAAAGGATGCAATTGTTCGTCATGTTTCCAGTAAAATCTGGCAAAGCCGTCGTGTCCTTCAACCTGTGGCTCAGTAACATTGAAAGGCATGTTCATAAGACGCTCTTCTTCTAACCTCTCTAGTCTGTTTGGATAATTTGTGCGCGCTGTTTCCAGGTCCATTTCGTAGCGAAGACCAGATAGTTTGTCATAGACTTTTATGGGTCTTCCCTTCCTATATTTAAACTTCTTCGAAACTTTCCAGCCATATCTTTCTAACTCTGCTTTTATTCTAGCAGATTTTCTATCCATTCTATATGGGGGCATTTTTAATAAAAATAAAAAATATTTTTTTTTTTACTTTACGTAACCACCTGCTGCCATAAGTCTTTGACGCCAACCCATACCAGCTAATGAAGGTTGACTTGGTTTAGTTTGGAAACTAAACTTTGGTTTTGGTTTATCTTCAGTTTTTGGTTTTTCTTCTTCTATCGGTTTTTCGTCACTTTTCGGTTCCTCTGACTTTACCTCACTTGCAGGTATGGTTGTGTCGTCAACATCTTCATAAATATCATATGCCATTTGTTTTTGTTTTCCTTTCAACTTTTTGTGTTTGTTGTAAAGTTTAGAATATTTCGACTCTAAGTCAATGAGATGTTCTATAATGAACTGTTGGTCAGTGAAGTAAACTTTTCCATCTGTTGTCTCGAAAGCTCCTTCAGACTTCAATATTTTATTTGTGAGAGTCTGTTTCTTTTTTGAGATACTAGCCGTTCCATTTCTATGAAAAGTGACTTTATAGTTAGGGTTTGTATTTCCAGACCTGGCACTTTCTATTATTGAATTTTTCTCTTCATCTGTAAGTTCTTTGACAGGTTTTGACAATGGTTCTGAACTTTTTGTTTGTGGTGTCAAATCTACCGTTTCAACTTCTTCGGTCATTTCATCTCAGTAAAAAATTTTAGTTTGGTTTGTTTTCAACTGGTTGTTGTTGTTTTTTAAGTCGGTCTAAAACTTCCTGAGGTATAGGGAGGACTTGACAAACACGTGGTTGTGTAACTGCTGGAAGCCGACAAATCCATCTTGAGCCCATTTGTCTCAATGCTGTATTGTTCATTTCATCTCAGTAAAAAATTTTACATTCCCCAAGTTTGAGGCGGTTGAGGTTGGTTGTTGTTTACCCACTGTTGTGCATGGTTATATCCTCTGTTAAAGAATCTTTCACCTTGGTCCATATAGTGCCCTGCTTGGTTATAGTAGTCATTTGCTTTGTTATAGTAGTTTCCTGCTTGTCTTCCTACATTGTCCATCCATCCTTGAACTTTTCCTCTTGTTTCAGGATTTGGAATAAGATTTGCTGCATCTCGTGCTACATCCCAACCTTTCTGTACAGTTTGTATAATAGGTTGTGCTTTCTCTTTAAGTATACCTAATGTACTCAAAATCTTCCTTCCAACTCCAAATACACCTCTGGCTATTGTTCCCACTGCGGGTAAAAATCTGGATGCAACTCCTGCTAATGCGCCAAATAAACCCATTTCTTATAGGATAAAAATGACGAATCCAAACAAGGACCCCTATGTTTCTAAAGCGACAAAGAAAGCACTCATGATAAAAATCTTTAGTTCAACACCAAATGCTTGGTTTATGGATATCTTGGAAAACATTCCGAGGTATAGAGAAGATGGACCACCATACTGGCTAATATTTGTTGGTCAAAACACAAGATACTGTGAAGCCATACCATTACAGTCCAAAAATATTTTAGATGTGAAAACTGCTTTGACAATATTCGTTGACAAATACCATCCAACAAAACTGACATCTGACTGTGAAAGTTCTTTCAAATCAGACGATATTAAAAACTATCTGCGTTCAAAAAATGTAAACCAATATTTCATTGTCGACCAAAACCATTCTGCTCTTGGTGTCATTGACAGTTGTATAAAAATCTTAAGAGACTTAAACCAACCACAAAGTGGTGAGGTAGATGAAATGTCATATGACGACAAGTATAGACATTTCTCCATGGCAAAGATGAGACAAGTTTTAAATATTTACAATACCCGTAAACAAAAAGGTTTGGGAAACCATTCCCCTGAAGAAATGAAAAACAACCCTGACTTAGAGAAAGACTATATATTTAATAGTTTAGTCAAAAGAGACAAACAAGAAAGAATGCCAGGCTTCAAACTTAAGAAAGGTGACAAAGTAAAAATAGAAATACCTAAACGCGACCCATATGAAAATACTATTGACTATGACAACAATGGGAACCCGACAGGTACTCACATTCGTGTTCGTAAAAATAGAAGAAAGTATACAAGAGAATATTATGAAGTTTTAGGCAAACATGGCAAAATGTACAGACTGCAAGCAGAAGATAAAACTACTATTGTCAGACCTCGTTTCAAACTTGTTAAGGTTCAAGGTGGTATACTTTCAAAGACAGTTCCTAACAAATATAAGACAACTCCTGACGAATATGCTAAAGAAGTGGAACATGACGACTAAGCAATTCTATACCATGCACAAACTGTCATGTAAGGTGGCATGTATTTTTTACCTAGTCCTGTAGATGTTGTTGTAAAAGTATGTTGGTGGTTTCCTCCTGGTTCAGTTTGTCGAAAAGTCTTTTTTGCTGAATGGTTATAATCTGGAGATAAAACGTCATAGCCAGCTTCATATTCTGAGTTGTATAATGGATGGTCTCGTAATGAGTGGCTATGGTCGCCAGAAAAGTTTGTTGTACCAGAATGACTATGTGGTGGCAAGTTGTCGACAGATATCGTTTTACTTCCACCTGTTTTCTTTGGAGTGTGTGCACAATACAAAAAACTTTCGAATATTTGAGTCCAAGTTCCAAAACCAAGTACTACTTCTGGTCTGGTAGAGTTCATTGACGTATAAATAGAACCAACCGGGTAAATGGTTTGAAGTATTTCTGTCTTTAATGTTTGAAGCTCTGTTTTGTCTGCTTTCTTGTCATATAAATCTTGAGCAGTGAATTTAACTTTATTTTCATCCTCCATGACATAAACATCTCTACATCTAATGTCTTTCATCGTTGTTATGTCATCCTCCGATGTTAAACCTTGTGGAAAGTTAGGAGGTTTCCAATCTAATACATCCCCACCAGTTTCTTCAACCGTTCCTTCAATATTTTCTATACCAACAGTTGCGAAGAAGCTATGTGTATGTCCAACGTCACTTTTCCTGTTTAAGGTTTCTTGTAAGTTTGTAATATTTGCAATGGTATGTGTATGTCCAACGTCACTTTTCCTGTTTAAGGTTTCTTGTAAGTTTGTAATATTTGCAATGGTATGTGTATGGTTCTTATCCGCTTTAAGGTCTAAACATCCTGAAACCCACCCTGTATCGGCTTTACCTTTTAAAATCTTTGTTGTCCGTTCATGGTACCATTCAACCCTTTCTATAATTTTTTCATCTTTTTCATTCACATATTCCTTATCTGCCTTCTTCACTAACGCACTAGCCACACGTGCTAACTCATCGTCAACATACTCTTTGTCAGCTTTGTTGTCAATATCTGCTTTCAAAAGAAGTTCTTTTATAGGCTTCTCGTTTAAAGTTCCTTTTGTTGGATTTACACAGACAGTATGGTTCTTACTGTCTTGAAATAGAAACTCATCTGTCAATGGGTTTAATGTCAGTTTTAAGTTTCCTTCTTTCAATGACTCAGATATCTTAGAATAGTTTGAAAAGTTTGTTGTGTTCTTATTTAGAGCTTGTATAATGAGTTGTCGGTTGTGTTGTATTTCTCTCATAGACGCTGTTTCTTTCGACATTTTTATTCTAGATAAAATATGCTTTCAATAGAAAAAGAAAATTCAAGAGTTGCTACAACTAAACCATTAGATGAACTTTTTACGAATGTCGGTCAAAAGTTTGAGACAGAGACCGTAAAGCATGAAGGCTATCGTTTTGACTACCCATTGAGATGGCTAAGAGACCCATCCGTCACAAAAGCTATTGGCTTTCGTAGAATGAAGTTCATTTCAGAAGCCATACATGGTTTCCCATTTACGGTCGCTTTTGAAGTTCGATACTATAACAAAGAAAAACATACGTATGAGAAATTTGAACAGGGAAAACTTTTACAAGTTAGTTTGCTTGTAAACTTAGAAACAACTCTTCAAGCTTTTCAAGAAAAAATAAACGATATCTATCTCGAATATGCAAAACAGTACAACATTGACGAAGGAGAGTACCATCTCGATATTATATATGACAGGAAAAATGCAACTGTTAAAATCAATAGAATAGAAGACCTTGGAGAAGACGTTTATATTTCTACAAAATATAACAACTTGGCATGGTATAGATTTTTGAGGATGTTAAATCAGCCTGCAGAATATCCAGTACACCCGAACTTTTATGAAGTCGAAAACCCTAATGGAACATATGAAAATGTTTTCGACTCAGATGCTATTATAGTTCATGCTTCATTTTCTGGTGCACAAAACTCTTTTTTATGCTTGGCAAATGACTTTTACGAAAAACCTACAAAGCTATATGAACCACCGAGTGGAAGTATTTCAGACTTTCAAGTATGGTTTACAACAGATGGAAGAAAGAGAATAGTTCCATTATACCATGCGTTTTACTTAGAACTTAGTCTCATATACAACTACTATCGAACGGTAAAAATATAATTTTTAATACGGTTGAGGTGTTGGATTTGGTTGCCAACTTGACTGTGGTGCAGGTTCAGGCTGTTGTATAACAGGAGCTTGTTCTTCTGGTTCAGGGTCTTTAGGTATAATACCAACGAACTGACCTACTCTTTTACCAATATTTTTGACTCCGTTCCAAATTCCTCTTCCGACAGATTTTATTCCATTCCATATACCTCTTCCAACATTTCGAAAGAAGTTTCCTATTCTTCCAAAGAAACCCATTTTACTATATGTAAAAATCTAATGTCCGCCTAGTCTCTTACGTTTCCTGTTGAGTTCCATAGCATTCTTTAACTGGAGCTCATACATTCTGTTTCTCCTCTGGTAGAAAACATACTCTGGGTCAACTCCTGTGTTTCGCGTCATCTGCATAGAGTTGTTTAATCCCACTTCGGGTTTGTATAAAACTCTTTCCATCTCATATTTGCATACCATGGTGGTAAGCCTAACGCAGCGTCATTTGACATGGCAGTTTGCATTTGTACATCTGTTGGCACTTGACCATAGTTTGCCATTGCAGTTTGTATTCTAACTTCATTTGGAATATTCTCTGGGTTTGGTTGTCCAGGTTGCTGTGCATTCGCTAAGTTCTGTGAGTCCATTTAATTATTAGATAAAAATATCTCTTACGAGTACATATACTGAACATTTGCAGGCATTGGTTCATCTTCATATTCTCTATATCTTTCTGCCACGTCAAATAAATAAATGACACAATGGAAAAAACCTAAAACAAGTAGTCCTATTTCAAACAACATTTACTTACCAATAAAATTTCTTTGTTATGACACTTTCTCCAGTTTATATAGGACCTCTCTCATATTCTATCTTGTCATATCTAAACTCATAGTCATGTATGTCCTCTAACCATCTCATAACATGGTTTCCAAACCACTTTTATCGGATGTAAAGTAAAAGCATGGATGGTTATGTAAAACGTCTAAAGTTTCTAAAGAGTCTCTCAAAGTCCAGTCTACTTGGTATTGAAAGAATCTTGTGTATATAGAACGGCGGGTACTACTATAAAGAAAACATTTTCCTTGTCTTTATATTTTTCATACAACTCTGTCCAACGACATCTCACAAACTCTATACCCTCATATATTTTTCTATGTTCTCTTTGAAAACCTTTGTATAGTTAAGATATAAAACTTTTGACATAAGTGTTTCAATGTCATGAACTCTTATAGAACCACTATACAATAGTCTAGAAGATATACTATCCCAGTCAATATACTCTGCTTTTTTCAAAACCTCTCTGACAATATTTTTCTTATCTAATGGTATACGTTCCATCTTACCTATAGGTTTTCTTTTAACTCTTTCAATATTTGTTTGTGTCTGGTATATGTTTGAGACGGTTCATATAGTCGAAGTCATTGCATATAATCTTGAGTCAGGAAATATTGTATGGCACAAATGAGATATATAGAAACTTCCACCGAACAAGTCTACAAATGTTAGACCATTCGGTAGTTTCTTAAGTTCTCTCAATAGAATATCTTTACATTTACTCTTATTTCCAAAGAACGGTAACGGTGGTTTTGTAAAATTCATTTATATATAATAATAAAAATGTTTTTCCCTGAAAAGTGACAGAAAAGTGACAAAACATGAAAACTACTCGGTTAAGGTTTTTGACAGATGTTTTATTGTGACTTCTTCGTAAAGACTTTGTTGAGACTTCTTCGTAAATGACCCAAAAATATATTTTAGGGTAGAAGGGTATATCTACCCTCTTTTCTACCCTCTTTTCTACCCTCTTGAATTTTCATGAATTTCTTCGTAAAGACTTTGTCAAGACTTCTTCGTAAAGACTTTCTTGTCTATGTTTTGTAAAGTTCTTCGTAAAGACTTTGTAAAGACTTTGTAAAGACTTTGTAAAGACTTTGTCAAGACTTCTTCGTAAAGACTTTCTTGTCTATGTTTTGTAAAGTTCTTCGTAAAGACTTTGTAAAGACTTTGTAAAGACTTTGTAAAGACTTCTTTGTAAATGTTTTCAAGACTTCTTCGTAAAGACTTTGTTGAGACTTCTTCGTAAAGACTTTGTAAAGAAAGTTCATGAAAATTCAAGAGGGTAGAAAAGAGGGTAGAAAAGAGGGTAGATATACCCTTCTACCCTAAAATATATTTTTGGGTCATTTACGCTCATTGTCTATGTTTTGTTGAGACTTCTTCATCTAATTTCTCATGAACTTTCTTGTCTATGTTTTGTAAAGACTTTGTCAAGACTTCTTCGTAAAGACTTTGTTGAGATTTCATCGTAAAGACTTTGTTGAGATTTCATCGTAAAGACTTTGTTGAGATTTCATCGTAAAGACTTTGTTGAGATTTCTTCGTAAAGACTTTGTTGAGATTTCTTCGTAAAGACTTTGTTGAGACTTCTTCGTAAAGACTTTGTAAAGAAAGTTCATGAAAATTCAAGAGGGTAGAAAAGAGGGTAGAAAAGAGGGTAGATATACCCTTCTACCCTAAAATATATTTTTGGGTCATTTACGCTCATTGTCTATGTTTTGTTGAGACTTCTTCATCTAATTTCTCATGAACTTTCTTGTCTATGTTTTGTAAAGACTTTGTCAAGACTTCTTCGTAAAGACTTTCTTGTCTATGTTTTGTCAAGACTTCTTCGTAAATGTTTTGTTGAGATTTCTTCATAAAGACTTTGTCAAGACTTCTTTGTAAATGTTTTGTCAAGACTTCTTCGTAAAGACTTTGTTGAGACTTCTTCGTAAAGACTTTGTTGAGACTTCATTTATACTAAACATCAACATCAGGGCTAGAAGGCACGAAGTGCCTGGAAGCCCCACTACCTTTTTTTTTTTTTTTTTTTTTTTTTTTTTTTTTTTGGATCTCTCTTTTTGGTCATCAATATCTTTTGAGATCTTAATTGAACGTGTTTGATTCGACTTTGAGAAGAATAAATTCAAAAATCAAAGTTCTCAAAAGATAATTGAATAACTAGTTTGATAAGCGCCAAAAAATCGAAAAAATATCACTGACAAATAGAATATCTATTGCATTTTCCCATTTTTTTCTTTTGAGATTAACTCCTGTCATTTTCAATTCTTTTTCAATTCTATTTAAGGGTGCACCCGTATGTACGTTTATTTGAGAGGAGGATGATTACCCTCTCAATTTTGAGGGATTCGTTAGTTTATTTTCTCGATGAATATGCAATAAAATTTGATTTTTACCTTATCAATATACTTCATATAATATACACATGTTCATGTAAAAACTTTTTTCCAAAATCCTCAGGAATTAAGGGATTTTTGAATTTTAAGAATTTTTTTCGAATTTTTTCGAAAAAAAAATATTTTCAGAACAGCCTTAACGGCTAAGATTTAGGAACAATGTTAAGTATCAAAAAGAAAGGAGGTCAGATATAGACAACATATATCGTTGAAGGTTGAAAAAATCTCTAATATTTGAGCCCAAAATTTCAAATTTTAATTTTTTGAAAAAAGAGGCCACCCATATGTACGTTTATTTGAGAGGAGGATTATATTTTTGAAAGGGTGAAACATTATGAATATGTTAATTATATAATAATATGTATTATTATAAAAAAGAAAAAATAAAGCACGTTAAAATTTTTCTTCTTGATTTTTTACAAAATCTACTTAGAATTATGCAAAATATGACTAAATAATTATAAATTTCAAGTTAAATTTTAATTTTGATAAATAATTTAAATTTCAAAATATCAAGTTCAGTTCGACTATGTATGTAGTAATTCCTCAATAAAGTGCCAAAACCCTATTAAAATATATGAACATTTTCAACATTTTAATGTTTTTATTTAAAAATTTGTTGGAATATGAGCTTCAAACAATTATTATGTAAATAAAAATAATTAAATATATGTATTTATTCGTATTACAACCGTAGTAAGTCGATTCTTCCTTTCTTCTACTGAGATTTGAATTTGATTTCGAATTGTAAAGAGATTCAAAGGGAAAATACTAGCGGATAAAAACTACCTCCATGAAAGGGTCATAATGGAGTCAAGTTGTATTTTTTGATATTTTTTGCTTTTCGAGCCTAAATAGGTAGCCAAGATAATGCCTAAAAATAAGGTTCTAAATTCTGAAGTTTACATGATCCTCTCGTGTGCACCCTTAACCGGCTAATAATTCATCATATTTGCTCGTTCCCTTTATTATTTCTCATTTTATCCCATGAGATTTTTCAAATTGCTTTCAAAATATAATCATCACAAATTAATTTTATATAAAAGACTTTCGTTCAAGACCTTTGTTCTATTATATTGGTATAAAAATTAACAAATTGTCGAAAATTTGTACCTCTAACCCAAAATAATTTTTCAAAGCTCTTTTTCCCAATTTCTCAAATTTCCAAGTTTTCCAATATCTTTCCTCATACGTATTTATCTATTTCTTATTCAATTTATTTTTGAAAGGAATATTTTTAATGCCATTTTTTTTATTTATTTTGAAAACAAGTTGCTTACATTGACATTATCAATTGTTTTATTATGTTTGCATAACATTTAACAGTCTTCTCAAATAACGTTGACTTCGTTTCAATTTTTCACACACTCTATAGTAACACTATTTCTATTAAGTTCCTTATTCTTCTATTAACTTATATTGACTAATTCTTCTTCTCAATATTTTTGAATCTTGAAATTTTATATCATTTAGCTAAATTCCTTTAGCTTTTTATTTTTTATTTTATTTTAATTTTTTTTTTTTTAATTTTATTTTTTTTACTGAAATTATTATGTTACTCACTTTATTATATAAACAAACATACATTGCTTTTAATGCTTGATATTGTGATTGATATTTTTAATAATTTTCCTAATTACCTGTGAAGCGCATTCTTGGGCAATTATTTTCTTCATGTTGCAACTATAATTGTCAAAATCATAACTCTCAAGTTATATAGATATTTTCCCTGTAAGAATTAATAAACTTTTTTTTTGAAAACGATGCAATTTTCAGATGAATGATTTTGAGCATTATCAAGCAATTGTCCCACGATTATCAGAATTACTTTTAGATAATTGTATATCATCATCTACAGAAACCAGAAATAAGATGCTTATATATCATAGGGCATCGATTTTAATCAATCAAATAAAAAAAATTAAGAATCAAGAAGAGATTTTTCCTGCACCTGAAGGAGATTCTTTTGTTACACCTCAACAAATGCAATGCATTTCACTTTTGATCGATTTTATTCTTAAAAATCCAGAAATTTTAATAGAAATTATTCTACATGAACTAGAAAAAGAAAACGATACGCAAATTGCTTTAATTTATTCTTCCGTCATCCCATCCATCTATGGATTCTATTCAACTGCAGAACATATTAGTTATGCGTTTCCATTTTTTTGTTCATTGATCATTTCAGTGAATCGCGAGATTGCTTTTTCAGCTTTAGTTCCATTTTATTGTTCTGCTTGTACATATAAATTTACCGAATATTGTTTTGATCATTTTGTCACAAAATTTGTCAACGATGCCCGTATTTTAACAAAGCAAATTAGTAATTCTATAATTGATGAATATGTTTCCTTATTTATTCATTCATTATCGGAAGCTTTTCCCCTACTCCCGCATTCTCATCAATTTATCCTACGTTTCATGCAAATAAAAGGCTATCCTATCAACGAAATCATACAATTTTTCATTCATAGATTTGCTGCCCCTCAATTACAAAAATTTTTACTTTCAACTCCACACAAGAACCAGCATAATAAGCTTTTTACGATTATCAAAGCTGTTGATCCTCGTCTAGATCTTTACCAGCCTCTCTTACAAGCATTTTCTTCAAAAACAATTTTTGAGATTCCATCTGCATACCAAGCCTTTGACTTACCATTCTTGCAGTTTATTGTATCAACTCAGGATGCAGATATTTTAGTGCAAAACCTTGTTGAAATCCATAAACTGCCTAATATTCTCAGACAATTTGTTACAAATAACTACTTTTCTGAAATAAATCTGCAGCCTCTTATTGTAAAGGTATATATACGCAAGCCAAAGCCTGTAGAGCAGTCATACAACTGGAGGAGAGTTGTTTTTGACAACTTCAAAACAAAAAAATTAGAAGATAATGATTTATTTCAGAGGTACTTTTTGCAGATTCAGTCTGAAGTAGAAGATTTCAAAGAAAACCCTTCAATCTTCTTAAAAAGTGAAAATTTGCTGCCAAGCGAATATTTTAAAAGGGAACAAATAAAAAAGATATTGTCAGAGAAATATGATATGTTTGTTGATTATTCAATCAACTTAACTGTAAATGAACTCATCGAAAGGTCAAAACTTTTTGAAAATTACCTTGTTCACAGTTTGGCCTTGAAAACGCTTAAATCATGGTCAAAATTAATAGAAGAGTGTTTGAAAGTATCAGCATTTCCAGTAATTGAAGAAAATGTGAGCGCTGTCATTAAATCTTTTTCGTTGAGACAATTATTCAAAAATTCTATTTTAATAGACAAGGCAATTGATGTTTCAGCATTTTGTATTCAGGAATTCTCAAACAAACCACTTCAGGTTATGATCTTAATTGAAAATTTTCTTTGTTATATAATTGGACCAAAAACTGCTATAATAATCAAATCTGTAGAGACAAGATGGCAAAAGCATGTTGTTGAAATGCGTCCCAGTATAAAATTGCCTCATGAATTTACAGATAAAAAATATAATATGAACAAAACATTGTTATTGAATGAGAAGCTATGGAAGATTGTTGCTATGTTTAATTCTATATCAACAATCCCTTTTTCTATGTCTTATTTCGTTTTTCTTGATTGTATCAAAGAAATAGAAGATTTAGAATCGTTTATTAGTGCAGATAATAATGATTCTATCACGAAGTTTGCTCTTGCATTTGCGGATTCGAGACAGATGATTTCAAGATTTATCATTATTAACTCAATCTTCGTCAAAACAGACAGATATAAAAATATATATAATAAATGCAGTCGTGACCCACTACTTTGGTGTAGATTGGAATCGGCAATCCTTGATATGATATCAACAGACACTAATTTCATTAGTGATGTCCTTTCATTTCAAGAATTACTTATTGACTCAAAGTTTATTTGAGCAAAATTGTTTTTTTTTAGTATTAATAATAAAAAATGATATTCATTTTTTTGACTAATATAATATTACATAATTTACATAAATAAGAAAAAGAATAAAATAAAATAAATGGAAAAATAAACACATACAATATAACATTATGCTGATACTGGATAGAACAAAGGAATTGGTACTTGTAATATTTTGATCAAAGTTAGTTGCATTGCGCAAACGAAATCCTCTTGCTGTTTGAATATCTTTCTCTGATTTGCATCATTTGATTCGCTTCTCGATTTCTGTCTTTCAAACATGTCTTTCATGATGTCAAATGCAGCTCTGATTTGGTTTGCTGGGATAAACAAACAGAATGCGTTTGCGACCTCCCTGAATATCCTCTCCACGAGCATTGGCATCTCGCACAAGTCGGCGTAAGTGAAAATGTACAACAATGAGCCGCATTCTGGCGATGGAGTCGCATTTGGCTTAATCTCCCTGAAATTGCAGAACTTGAAGATGTTCGCGTAGTAGTCTGTGTTCTTGTTCGATGAAAAAAGTGGGAAGATGTAAGGCAATGTACGCTCGAGTTCGTCAACATAAGGTTTCGATGGCTCGGCGCTGCCAAACGCGTATATAGCTGATCTAACAATCTCTGCGCTGCGTTGGATGCCATCCCAGCGTGCTTTCTTCCGGTCATTGACAATTCTCCGGTAAACTACCACTTTCAGTGCGCCGACAACGCTGCGACGAGATTGAGGGAGGACAAGTGAAGTGAAACTGGATACTCTTGTGACCAAACTCTCTCTGAACATGATTTCGAGGGGTAACGATTGCAAACTGTGACTGACAACAAAGTTTATTGAAAGATCTGGACATGGTGCAACAGTTATGAATCTTCCTTTCTTCTTGGAGAACCACGAGTTGTCAATTGGAAGTTCATCGTCTTTAATAGGGAATGCTTGCTGCAGAATTGTACAACTACGGAGCAAAACACCAAATATTTTCTCTTTGATGTCCAAAAGTGTGGAAAGGTAAAGAGCTGGATTGTTAAATTTGTCGGCTGAGCCTTTTTTGTCAACTAGGACATATCCTAAAAGGCACTCGAAGAAAGACTTCGGAAGGAAATTGTCTGTCATGTCGAAATTGATCTTGGAGCCCATTGCTTCGATTAATATCGACTTGAGAGTTGCAAAGTGGCCATCGTTGAATCTACAGATTCTCTTCTGACCAGTCATTGGAATGTAAACAAGAATCCCGTTGAAAAGTCTCTGAACCAGCACTGTTCTACTGGAAGCTTTGTTATGTCTGAGCAGAGTGGAGAATTTGACATCAGTAGCGATATTTCCTTCGCTTGCCTCTTGTATGGACTCGATTGTTTTGAGGATTTCCTTGCAAACACCTCTATTTCTGATATGAACTGTGTCAGAGTCAATTTTCTGGGTCTCGTACAGCCTGATGTTGGCGTTGATGCATGAGAAGAGGTTGTCTAGAGAGCGTTCCCTCGCTTCAATCGACTTCTTTGTCTGGTCTATGTCGTATCCGGATTCAACTAAGACATTTTCGAAACTGGGCAGACGAGGATTCTTCAGAGAAAGAACTTCGAAGTCCATTTCGGCCGAGGAATAGATGGGAGTCGGTAATCCTGTGTCGATATTCCTCAATCTGTTTCCAATTAGACATTTAATATCAGAAAGTAGGTCGAATATTAGTAGATGATCATTGATGAAGTCCTTATCTGAATACGCTAAGAGTTCAACGAGATTTTCCATTGAGTGCTCAAATGTCTTTAAAGCGTAAGTTGAAATGTTAACGGGGACAAAGTGTGGTCCTAAACAGAGCTTTTTGATGGTAGTGAATGCGAAATCGAAGTAAGTTTTGTAATCGGCCATTTTATTGAGCATGAAATAGACTTTTGCTAGTAAAACTTGAGTATAAATGATGAGTGTTATTGACATAAGTCTGTTCGCATTCTTTTCGCAGAACTGTAGGCACCGTAAACACTCATCCAGAGCATTTTCACTGCTTATGGTTCTTTCTGTGAGTTTTGGAAGGTCTTTATAGTGTTTCTGAACTGGAATTGTAAGAAGGGCTGGCTGTTGTAAGTGTAAATCTTCTGGAGATTTAATTTCTTTTTCTTCACTATCTAAATTGAAGGTGCTCTTGTTTTCTGGATTATCGATGTGTTGCAATGCATTTTTGATAACTGGATTTGTATCGAAAAAGTGATGTAAAATTATATCACAAAAATTGAGAGAGGCCTCAATTTCTTTTCTTGTTGAGCCGACTTTTTCGAAGCAATGCCTAGCGACAACAAAGCAAGAGATTGCTTCAGAAGCTATTTCATTGAGAGTGAAATCTCTTGTCGGTTTCTTGTATGATAAAAACTTTTTCTGATTCTCGATTAATTCTGCTTCGAACTGTACTTTCTCTGGGAAGCTTGAAGAGTTAAAGTATGCCATTGAAAATGCCATACCTCTCCATAAGTAACCGCATCCGATCTCTCTTAATGTACCTTTTAAGTAAATAAAGAATTCTGACCAAGCGATTGTCTCTCTGAACATCATTCTGTCGAGTGTACCTCTCATCATCATGGAAACTACCGCACCGCAAGCGTCAAACGACGCTCCGCTCAACAATGAAATATGAGTAGCGGATCTTGCCATGTGTCTGACGTCCAGCTTTGGCAGAGATTGTACGCATTGTTGGTATCTATTTGTTTTGAGGAAAAGCCTTGACTTGAGGTATCCGATTATATTTTGGAGGACTGGTGCTTCCATTGCGTTCTGGAGGCTTTCGATTGTGTATTCTGCTGCTTTGTAGTGTCTCATTCTTATAAGAGTATCAATGTAAGAGCAACAGACGAGCATCGTGTTGATTGCGTTCTTCCTTGGAACGAAATCAGGGAAAGAACTAACTAATGATGGTCTCGTCAGTCTTTGTGTGCCTTTTAATTGAGGATCGATGATTTTGAAATTTTCTCGAACAGCTAAATTGTATGGTTTACGTAATAAAAATGACAAAAGTGACACCGCCAAATGCATCATGCCATTTTCTGTGTAAATTTGAGCAATTGTCTGTCCTAAGTAGAGAGATTCATCTATCTTTGACTGCTGTATAAGTGTCTTAAGACTTGAAGTGTAGAAAAAAAGCGCTCTTATTGTATCTCCATTTCTCTGAGCCATTTGAGCAATAGCTGTTGATGAATTTGTGTCCTTTATATCTGAGAGAAAGTAGTTGTCGAAAGCTAATGTTGCATGGTAGTACCTATCTGACCTTTCTAATGTTTCCGCAAAAAAGAGAACACTTGAACGTATAATCGGAGTTCTACTGAATGTCCCCATGACTTTGTGAACTAAATAGACTAATTCGAACATTATGGAACATGAAACGTAAGGATCAACGTCGATGTAAGCTAATGCAGCTCCAAATCCTACGCGAAACGCATAGAAAGGTGGTAAATCCATAGTAGAGTATGCTTCGTATAGATATGTTGCTCTAAGTGTCCTTATTGATATAGGATGAGTTACTGATTTCAAAGACGGAGGCTGGGATATTCTTCCACCCGTCAACGGCGACCTTCCATCGATAATAAATTCTATATCTGCTGCTGCCAGTAAATGAACTATGTTTGTTGAGTACGAAACCGCTAATTCCGGCAATTTTCTTTTGTTTGCGATCGGCTTGAGCGATTTGCGTTCAATCTGATCGTTCGGTATTAATTCGAGAAGTTTTTCGTAAGACTGTTGAATTTCGCCTGCGTGAGAAATCATAGCGTTATGTGCTTCATGTTCGTAAATTATTAAATTGGGAAATAAGCAACCTCTAGTTACTGGGTTGTTTGTCGATTGATTTAAGAATTGAAGTGTTGGATAGTATAAATGAAAGAAATCTGCCGACGGATCCATTGGGAGTGCGTTCAGAAGTTTCTGTTGGTTGACGAGGTAGCTATATAAGCCAATATAGTAATGAGCGCTGTTCGTCATCATCCTCTGTACAGTTACGTTTTCAACCGGGAGAGACATCGGAGCGGACATGTAAGGAAGTGTAGGGTCGTATGCGATGCTGCTCCTCCAGTTGGTCATTGGCAATTCGTTACTGCTGATGACTGGTCTGAGGGATTCCAACCATTCGGAAAATTGAGTTGCAGAATAAGAAGAATGACCTTCGTCATCTAATATGTAGGTCATAGTTTCTGGTGGCTCCGTAACAGCAATTGCTAAAGTCTCAATTTTCGCTTGGCAATTTGCAAAATCTAAAACGTTTTCATGGACCTCTTCCTCGATTGTCATTACTGTTGGTGCGGTTGATAATTTCATCTTGTTACTTTTAATAAATTCAAAAAACGAATCGCTATTTTCGTCGTCTGTATCTTGATCTATCAGATCAATGGCTTTAATCGCTTCAGGACAGTAGGTGGATAAATTATGGATAACTGAAGGTAAGATAGGATGTCTCGGGAATAAGGCAACTAAATCTAATGCAATTTTATTTATAATATCTTGGATCGAAAAATCGGGAAATATAGTAGAAATTGGAGCATACGATGGGCATTTAAGGCATTCTTCCAGTGATGTTAGATAGTAGTAGCAAGAGACACCTTTATCTTTCTCCATTGAAGCAATCAAAAATTGAATAAGCGAAGTAATTCTTGGATCAATTGAAACATCTTCGTATTTGTGCAAGTTTAATGTTTTATCTCTGATAAAGTGTATTATGTCAATCTGTGCACTGAAAACGTCATCAAAGTCGTCGGGATTTAGAGGTAAAGTGTCAATTTGCTTGATTGCATATTTATGAATCAATGTCTGATTTTCTTGAGAAAATTGATCTTCAGGAATAAAGAATACAGGACCTGAATATTTTTGAGGAATTTTCTGTTTTTCAAGAATTGATAATATATTGGTAACCCGTGATGAGGCATCAGAAAATCCAACGATTTTCTTCTTCTTTTCTTGAGGTTTTAAGGCAAAAACAGGGACTTGTTTACTTATCTTAAGATTTTCGCCTTCGGAGCTCGATGAAAAGAAACAACCGTCAGAGGACTCCTCAGTCTGTTGTGTGCCGCGTTTTTCTGCCTTAAGGCCGAGCACAATTTTCGGGGAATCCATGCAATAAAAAAAGCTCCCCCTTTTTGATGAAAAATAAAACAACGATGGAGGTAGGGCAACGATAGGTCAAAAAGGCTTCTCTGATAGATTTCCTTGCCTTTTGGATATGCTATAATATATAGCCTAGCATGATAGGATATGATGTCAAAAGTTAGAACATAACTTAGGATCTTGAGAAAAATGAAAAACAAAAATTACATAAAAAAAGAAAAATTTTATCTAATTTGTTTTTTTGGACCGAATAAGTAATTTTATTGAATTTCAATACGACACATAGATTTTATTATTAGTAATAAATATAATGGTTTACTATTAACAAGGAACCTAAACTAATGAAAATTTGATTTCAAATATTGTATATGATTATCATAGATTACCAAAATATATTGCTATTTATGAGGATATAATATTGATTATTAGTAAATCGTATAAATTTAATAAATATACCATGAATATTGAATGAATTTCTTGATTCATAGAGGTAAAACGCGCTTTTATATGATTTAGACAGAGAATTTATGAGATGTAAATAACACAATAAAGGTTTATATTGAATATTTTCTAAAAATAAATCGAAATTATAAAAAACAATACATTTATTCATTGAAACTACTTGGACAAATATGAAACAAGCATTCAGGCAATACTTTTGAGACTTCAACGCATCTGATAATTTTTATATAACTTCACCTCTTATGCTTAGAGTGGAGGTATTGAGATCGTATAAGTATAGATGAGCTCACATTCAGATATGATGTGTGAACTTCTGTTTTCACTGCAATTTTGAATCAGAATAAACTCAAAACAAGAATAAAATGATATACTCACTCTCTAAATGTGTTCGAGATTTAAAGTTGTATGAATAAAACGATTCATCTTTCGAAGCCTCCCATTTAATGAGAGACTTCGAAAGATGAATGTATTCATGTAGATGAAATACTATATATGACCTTGTGTGATACTAAAGATATCAAAATGTTCATTTTTAAGTGCAATAGAAGGGTTATCTCTCGTAAAATCTCAATTTAAGGAAGATTTAGAAAGAACTCCTTTCCTAAGTAGATAGTGTGTGGTTTCTGTCTTTTGGTTGATCAGGAACTATGAAATTAAGTCGGACAGAAAGAAGTTCTTTCCAAAACAGACTCCAAATGAGTTGTTCGAAAAGAACTTCCTTCTGTATATGGATAATTGTAGTTACCGCACTGAAGTATGTGATTGTGATGATGGAGTTCTCGATAAATCTAAAATCGGATTAAGATTAATTGAAAACTCAAGTAATTCTTTGAAATCTTGTGTTGTCTGGCACTATAATAACCAAAGAATGAGAATATTATGTTGAATGATGAGTACGTGTGCTCGGCATTCGCCGAGCGAATTGAGTTTAACGTACTATGAAAAGTGACAAATTTGGGCTTTTTTTCCTAGGGTTATGATCTCTTCCTTTCTGCTCAATACGACAGAAATGAAAGAATGAATTTGTATTCCCTAATTGATTACTACAATCTGTATCTATCTTTAACATAGAATTAGCTGCATTGTGATTTATACTCCAGAATTATTCAATTTAAGATCAACCTCGTAAATTTTAATCATATTGCACCAATACTCCTACGTTGAGATAAGAACATGATTATACATACCAAAGCCCCATATTAAAAATCAAAATTTAGCACCTCCATTATGCAACCACATTATTCGTCGCAAATAAGTATATTTACGCATATTATGATGCATATTCACACAACTCGTATACATGAAAAGTTATTAAAATCAGACAAAATTATTGCAATAAGGAAAAAAACAACTTTATTATATATGTTAGTAATGAATTACAAATATTTCTACAAAGAATGCTCAATACTTCATATAATCTTCGAATATTTCTTATTACAAGTTAATACATTTTGACTCGAACATGATAAACAAAAGCTGACTGATTACTACATTTATGAAAATATAGTACGTTTCCATTCATCTGTTTACTTGTTTTTGTTGGAATAAAATCATTTTTTTTTCTTTCATGAAATAAGAATTTTGCTGCGAAAGCAATATCTCTAACAATAATTAATACATTACGTCAACTCTGGAATGAGTATTTATCAAATATGATATCAAAATCAAAAATTAGTTGTTTTTTATGAGTAAAAACGATGTAAATTGATTATTTGACTAATTATCAAATACTTTGATTTTCCAAATTTTTTCGAAATTGATTTTTTCATGTGAAAATTCAAATTGTTTAATTTCATTTTTGAAATTTTGAATTTTTTTTGGAATTTTGAGTTGATCAATTCAGCAGAATTGATAATGCTATTGCTTTAGGGCATACCACAAGGTGATGAATAAAAGGTGAACATTAACAAATTATTTTAAATCACAAATATCATCCTCATCAACTTTAATTCTAAAAAGAACTGTACTGAATTATGAAAATGCATGATTTACATTATTAAAATCTTTGAATGAAAATAGTACAAGATAAGTTTTTATTCATTTTTAATTAGATTTAAACGAAAAACTACTCCATATTAAAATTTAAGTCGAGAAATCGTATTTTGTTCTTATTTGTTAGCATTTTGTAGACATTCTAATCTTGAATTAATTTGTTACATGATAAGTAGTATATGATGCGGGTTTTGTGACTTTTTTTGTAAACGTAAGAATTCATACAATATCGAGCGATTTTGTATCATTTTTTTTAACATATGAAGTAAAAAATGTATGATTCTTACGGTTTTTATTCTTACGTTTTTGAATAAATCAAGATTTAAAAAATTTTCAAAATTGTAAGACATTTACACTAAACCCATACATAATGAAATAAAAAAAATAAAAAAAAAAATAAAAAAATAAACTTTAAAAATTCATGTCTTACATTTTTGAATAATTTATTTTTTAATTTGTATGAAAATGAGTGGATCAAGATTCGTAACCGTCAATCAATTAATGGATGCTCTTTCACCAGTTCTTGAAAATGTTAAACAAGTAGATGTTTATTTCGATGATTATGTAGAAAGTTTATATTATAAAGGTAAGTTTAATATTAAACCTATTGCTTTTGCATTTGATAATAAATTAATTGAAAATGTAAAAATTTGGGAATTAATTCCGAATATTGAATTTATAACAAATATTAATGATAAATGGTTTAAACGAATTCCAACCACAAAAGTTCTTTGTAAATTAATGATCAAAACTGAGGCCAAAGAATTTCATGAATTTACATATCATCCAAATAAAGTTTCAGAACTAGAAAATGAAAAACTTCAGAAAAAATTAAACGATAGACTTTCAAATGATTGTATTGAAAAAATAAATAAACTAGCAGAAGTTGCATTTAATAATGAAATATTTGATGAATATAACCTTGAACTCAGTGATGAACTTTAAGGACCCGGGCTCAACGAGTCATGATTTATGAAATCAATTATTTGATTTATTCGCTCTTCAATAATTTCTATTCTTTTTGTTAAATCATCAATTTTCATTAATGAGGTGATTCTTGATTGAGGAATAGATTTCAAACTAACCACTCCTTTTATTTTTGAAATTTTGAATCCATCAACTTTAAACATTTTATTCAATTTACATGTTGTCAATTCTTCAAATAATTTTTTATTATTAGCATAATAGTCATTAAATTCATCAACAGATGAAAAAATTTTTATTTCAGTAATTGGTTTAACAACGTTTATTTTTTGTTGAACATTTTCACTTTCATTTATTTCTTCCTCCTCTGTTTCATTTATTTTTAAAATCGGTTTCATTTATCATTAAATAAAAATTAGAATATAAGTGATGAAATATATTTTTTAATTAATATTAAATCAGAAATGGCGGCAGGATTCTTTAAAAAATTATGGGATGGAATTAAGAAAGCTGCGAGTTGGGTTCATCAAAAGATTATTAAACCCGTTGCAAACTTTTTGGCACCAGTAGCGAAAACGGCAGGAACTATCATAGGTGGAGTATTAGGTACTAAAGCAGGTAATCCGGCGATGGGAGCACAAGCAGGTAACGCAATTGGTGGAATTGCTGAAGGAATACTTAATAAAATAGGGGGTAAATAGTGGAAAAATAAATAAATATTATTTTTATCTTAGTATTGGTTGTAGTCTTTGATAAACTTTTTCTCCTTTATTTAAAATTTCTCTTATTGGGGCAGCTTTTGGTGTTATTGATTCAGCAATGTCACTAATTGCTTCTTTATTCTTAAATATCCAATTTGCTCCTTTCTTCATTGTTTCCCAAACTTTATGCGCTCCTCTTTTTACTTTATCCCACAGTTTCTTAAAGAATCCTGCAGCCATAGTTGATTATTTCATTAAAATTAAAAATTCATTTTCATATTTTAATTTTGATTTTTTATTTAATAATAAATGACGACTAACTATTTGGTGCCAAACACTAAACCAATTAATGGAAATGTGTTTCATTCATTCGAAAAGATAAATGAAATATTCGCAAAGAATGACGGTAGAAGATATTATAGAGAACTTGAAAGTTCATGCTATGACTCTGATGCTCCATATTTTGATGATAAACAAACTCATTTAAGAATTACAAATCCGGCTCATGATGTGAACCAATTAGGTGACACATATATTAAACGCAAAGTTAAAGCAACTCTAGTTTCAAATAAAGCTTTCACATGTGATGCCGCTTTTAAATGCATGCGTTTATTCGTTGGTTACAAATCATCAAATCAAAGCTTTAAACAATTAGAAGTAGAAACTGAAAGAGGTGATGCCGGTTATCTTCAGATGGATTGCGCCCGTGAATCTTTCGCATTTGCAACATATAAACCAAAATCAGAAAGGAAAGTTAAAAAGTTTGTTCATTCGTTATATAATAATGTTCAAAAATATGATAACTCAGTATGTGGTAAATATATTGACCCTTCAGAAGTTTTCAAGAAAGCAAATGAAGAAGTTGATATCACTTTTGATAGAAACAATAAGAATTACCGAAAAAGTGACAAAACATCAAAAACAGGGAGG